AAGGGAACCGAACTCTAACTACCATACAATCACAAATATTACATTTGAAAAATATATTTACAAAAAACAACAAATCAAATTAAATGTATTATCAAAAAAATTAAAGAATATAAATATTATTTAAATAAATTGAAAAAAATCAAAGATTTTCATAAAAGAACAATAAAAAGAATAAAACAAATTGTTAATTTCGAACAATATTATGCATTCAATTATTAAATTATATAAAAAAAGGAAATTATAGAAATTAAATAATTAAATAAAATAATTATTATTTGAAAAATATATTTACAAACAAAAAATTTCAAATTAAATACATTTTCGAAAAATGTAAAGACTGATTATATTATTTTAGAATATTTTAATTATTAAATTATATAAAAGACAAATATAAAAATTAAATAAATAATTACTTTACATTTTCAAAAAATGTAAAGTCCATTTATATTATTTAAATAAATTTGAAAAAATAAATTAAAGATTATTTCATAAAAAAAAAGGAACAACACAAAATTGTTAATTTTAGAATATTTTAATTATTAAATTATATAAAAGACATATAAAAATTAAATAAATAATTACTTCACCTTTTTTTAAAATGTATAGACTATTCATATTATTTAAATAAATTTGAAAAAATAAATTAAAGATAATTTCATAAAAAAAAAGAATCAACATTGTTAATTTTACAATATTTCAATTATTATATTATATTGACGATGATAAAAATTAAATAAATAAATAACATAATTACTATTTAATCAAATAAAAAGTTTAATTAATTACAAAAATTATAAAAAACAAATAAAAATTAAATATATAACAGTCTGAGCCGTTAACAGTCGGTTTAACCGACTGTTAACGGTCGGGTAAATCGACTGTTAATGGCAGGCAGCCGGAAACCGCCATTCCTGACGACTGAGGTCTAAAAAAGCAAAAAATCCACATTTTTCACACTCCCAGCATGCCCACAATCTAACTACTCATGCCCATGGATCTAATTAAACCGAAATTAGTAAGGAAAATGCTAATTTTACTTATTCAATAAACTTTCTACTTAAACAAAAAGTGATGAAAACTAACCGGTTATTTTATTTCCGGTGTAGATGATGGTCGTTGACTGCGACGTTGGTGTAGTTGCCGGTGGTTGATCGGTCAAATTTCTGGCGTCGATCGGTCGGAATTTTTCAAACAGTCTGAAGGGTAAAATCGCCTTTTATTGTGAAGTTTTTTTTTTCAACTTAATTTGTTTTTTTTAATTCATTTAATGAGTCAAAGCCCAATGTCAAATTTTACTACAGTGGAAGGGCCATTTTCGTGTATTTCCTCATAAATTAACCTACAAACCCTTGGTCTAATTAAACCTAGGCCTGGGCAAAAAAACCGTCAAACCACCTAAACCGCCAAACCGAACCGATTCGGTTTGGTTTGGTTCGGTTTAGAGTAGTCAAATGGTTTGGTTTGGTTTTTTGTAGACAAAAACCATGTTGGTTTGGTTTGGTTCATGGTTTGAATACCAAAACCGATGGTTAACCGCTCAACCCACTACAAATTTAAACCATTTTTTTTCTTTTTAAAAAAAGAAGAAGAAGAAGGGTAACTCACAGACAGAGTATGAATGTAGGAATCAAAATAAACATGATAACCAATCCAATCCAAATCCAATAAATTCCACATTAATTATCAATTTCAATAGTAGTAAAACTAAGGTTTTATTAGCAACTGTAGACTATATTTATGATTCAATCATTCATATCTCCAGAATCATGCAGCATGATGATTAAGAATCATGCAACAAAATGGATAGAGGACTTATAATTATTTCATGGAAACTAACTCATAATCAGACTCTCAAGCAATACATTTTCTCTTGCTTTCGTTTTCCTTTTCAGGAAGAAAAGTCAAAAGATAAGGCATCGGAAGTTGATGCTTGATGACGACGAACTTTCGCTATTCTTCTACTTTCCAGAACCTCGTCACTAGCTTTTTTGAAACTTTTTGTTTCTGATTCAAAGGTTTCATCATCATCAAGATCAGGATTATCTCAAGATAGTTGCACTCCGGCAGCCCTCTTTTTTGAAGGTTGAAAATTGTTTTCCTCATCCCCCATTGTAGATTAACAAAACAAACTTGAAGGAAAATTTGCTTCCTCCACAAGTTGGAAGAAAGTGATCTCTTCAGTTAAAAACATATGATAAAAATCACAACCTAAAAGGACATTATAAATGAAATCAAATGTTGCTTCTTGACCAAACCAATGCTAGGAAAGATATTCTAGGATATGAAACAAATACTTTTGAAGGAGACAAACTATAATGTGAAACTACATGATCCAGATAATCAATTAGCACTCGTCCACAGACATAAACAAATGAAACTAGTCATTAAGTTTGGCAATTGTTAATTCATTACAGAAAGTATCCAAAGATCATGCGCCAAGCAAAAGAAACACTCACATTTATAAATCAAACTCAAAAATGGGGGAACAAGGAAAAAAAGAAAGGAAAAAGAAAGAAAAAAAGGAGGAAAAAAAAGAAAAAGAAAAGAGAGAGAACAATGTGTAAGAGTAACATCAATGTTTGCTTGTTCTTTATAAGTTACAATGCAATATTATTTAAAAGTTCAAACTGAGAAACCAAACCAAACCAAACCGAAGTGGTTTGGGTTGGTTCGGTTTAAGAATTAGAGTGGGTTCGTTTTGGTTTTAATTTCACTCAAACCGACTACTTTGGTTTGGTTTTGGGTTTAGGTCAAAACCAACCCAAACCAAATCACGCCCAGGCCTAATTAAACCAATTAGCATTGACGATTCTTGGTGAAGAAGTAACCATCATTCAAGTTTAGATCAACTATAGCCCCATGGTTTTCCCTCACGCATTTGAGGGTTTACCACGTAAAAATCAATACCTTTCTCGTACAATTTATTTTTATATAATCTGATATTTTGGTTAGGTTGAAATCCCATTTCATCACACAAATAGGGAAAAAATATTCAGCCTCTGTTTGAGCCAACTTTTTGGAACGTAAAAATGAAATTTTTTACGATTATATCGCTCTTCAAGTCGCAAATGTTGACGGGCTGTGTCATATGTGGGACCTAGATTCTATTCCAACGGTCAACTTTCTTTTTCATGAAAATGATTTGAAAAATAGGGTACAAACAGCCTCTCAATTGAATATCATTGACAGATAATTTTTTAACATTTGATATCAGAGCTTTGACTCTAGAAAATCAAGTTTTTATATGGGTTGAAACGGAAGAAAATTCATTTGGGATGACAATTGAATTCTTCAAATTATTCTTCAATTTGGAAGCATAAGATGCAAGATTTACTTCATTGTAAAGAACTATTCTGACCAATCAAAGACATGAGAAATTCAAAAAAGTTGGACACTGAAGAATGGGAAATACATAATAGGAAACTGCTACAATGACCAGGCAATGGGTCGACTACAATACTTCCCATCATATCGCTAAAGATACTAAAGACGAAGCAATCCGGTAAGATGGAGGACCGTACAAGAAGAATGCATCCAGGAACAAAGTCGTGATAATCAAAAGGCATATAAACTTTTAAGTACAGAAAATGGTAGTATGATTGAGCATGCAAGTGAGTTCCAACGCTTTCGACCAATTGACAACCTGAAGATGACGCTTGAAGTCAAGATGTAGACATTACTATTGCTTAACTCTTTACCTGATAGCTGGGATACATTGATGATATCTCTAAGTAATTCAGCAATAGACCGGAAGTTTAGCCATGTACACAGTTAAAGATATTATGCTTAATGAAGAAGCAAAAAGTAAAGAAAGGGCGAGACTTCTTTTCGAGCTTTCATCATCGAAAAATACGTGGAATAAGCAAAACAGAAAGTCCAACGTCCACAACAAAAGGAATTTTTCTAAAGAAAAATCTAAATCTGGAAAAAATATAAGTGTTACTACTGTAACAAACTTGGATACTAGAAAAATGAATACAGAATCTGGAAAAGGGAGCAATGTGAAGGAAAGAGAGATAAAAAGACCAATGCAGTTACTGCTGAAGGTGATATTGGTGTTGTCCTCAATGATGAATCTGTATGTGTAGTTATTCAAAGTAGTGATTGGGTCATTGGTTCTAGACTTCTAGTGCTTCCTTCTATATGCTACCGGGTGATTTTGGCGATGTCAAAATTGGTAACAGTGGTGCGTCAAAGATCATGAGTAAGTATTGGTGATATTTGCTTGGAACCTACTCTCTGAAACAAATTAACACTTAAAGATGTGAGACATGTTTTAAATATTTGTCTTAATCTGATTTCTGCAAGCAAATGAAGGTTTTGCAAATTACTTTGGAGAAAGTAAATGGAAGCTCATCAAAGGTTCTCTTGCAGTGGCCAAAGGAAAGAAGATGAACACACTATGTGATGCAAGCAAAACTGCGCAACGACGACATTGATCATTAGCTTAGGAGACTCAGGCATATCAACAAGAAAGGACTCTAACTTCTTGCTAGAAAATAATCTAAACCTAATTTGCAAGGTATACGTCTGAAGACCCGTGCTGACTACTTAGCTGGAAAACATATAGAGTTGCATTTCACACATCCGTCTTAAAAATAAAATGTGAATGATTTGATTCATACGGATTTATGTTCCATGCAGGTAAAATCTCTTGGAGGTGTACCATATTTCGTGACTTTCATGATTGACTATTCTAGAAAGGTTTGTACATTTTTATTGAAGTACGATGATATATTGTTGGATGCTTTCAAAGAACTCCACGCCAAGGTTGTAAAGGAAACAAGGAAACAATTAAAAGCTATATGATCCAACGATGGTGGTGAATTGAAAGACTCATTTGAAATCTACTGCAAAGATCACGAGATCAGGCTAGAGAAAACTCTATAAAAAATACCTCAACACAATTTTGTAGTAAATCTCATGCCAAACTACCAATTATTTTTGTTGACTTCAAAAAATGCATCAAAAGAATTTCGACCACCCTCCCCTCCACATAAATGTCGCCTGCACACTGGAACATCCCGTTAGGAGGTAAAGATCATCGATTGAGCAAACAGTTAGACAACCATTTGCATTTCGACGATCAACTCAATAATCGGACAAAATATAAAGAGAGTGCAAGAGGCTGGAGATTGAGTTTGGATAGGTTTTTAGAACATACCTTATGTAAAACAAATTCACATTATATAGAAAAATAGATATGGGTTAAATGGATCGAGCCCGAGCCCGAGCCCAATATGAAGTTATTTAATTAAGTAGACTAATAAATTGAATAGTCGATGCCACGTCAGCATATATGGGATCCGTCGTCATATGCATGCCATGTAATTTATAGGTGTAACAATAATCTATCAAGTCCGAGTCATACATTCACGTGCAGGTCGAAACTCGAAATAGATGTAGTTAAGTAGGTGAGGTCTTATATATTACCTCGAAAATATGAGCAGCTCCAATAAGCGAGGGCTTATGAATTGCCTCAGAAATATACATTGATCCTAAATGTGTGCAGACTTATGAATTATCTAGAGAACATAAGTTGCTCCAATATATGAGGACTTAAGAACTTCCTCGAAAACATCTGTGCGAGCCTAAATAAGTGAGAGCTTACAGATTGCCTCGAAAGGTAAATATGACATAATTTATCAAAATGTCAACAGCTTCTCCTCTATAATATAGATTAAACAAACCTGTAATACAATACAATATATCCATTGTATATATACACAATAAATTGGGATCCATTTGCCTCTCAGATTATTAATGATGATAGCATGAATTATGTGCAATGAAACTTTCTTGAAGTAGAATATGCGGAGAACATATCATGTATCACAACCGTTGATATGTTGTCGTTAATGACATGAAAATATAGATAACGTAGCATATGTACTGACTGTAATGAAAATAATGTCATGACATGCTAGCAGGTGATGTGACATACATACTTTGAAGCAATAATATAATGCATATACTAGCAGTAATATGCAATAATACTAAGATACTAGTATCATAATATTCCCCCAAGTCCAAGTATGGATATTCATAAAATGCGTGGACCTTTGGATAAGGACAATGCTCTGAAGATAAGTAGATGTGATGAAAAAGATGCAGAGTCGAGACTAAATATATAAGCAACTGTAATAAGTTGATACAGAGGCAATGCTATGAATGTAAGCAGCAGAGACAATACTCTGAATGTAAGTAGCAAGGGAGATGCTCTCAATTAAGTAGCAATGCTATGGATGTAAGTAGCTCTAATAAGCTAATACAGTAAGGAGACTTTGAATGTAAGCATCTTAATTATGCCATAAATGCCTGCTCGGCTGACAAAAAAAGGAAGAAAATATTAAAAAAATAATTTGAGGACAGGTTACTCTGATACTGTTGCTCAATGAGGAATTTCTTTTTCCCAATCAAGGTTTACTGATTGGATGAACTTGCTAATTCCCAGTATTGGATCCAAAATAGACTCTTTTTTAAATACGGAAATGTCCATTTTAACTTGTTATTTGACCTCCAATTTTCTAATTGATCAAAACAATTTGATTCAAACATTTTAAGGATCCATTTCATAAGGTTTTTATTTTTTGATTTTACTCATTGCAGAAAAGTTTACCGATGGAACTACTTTAGAGTAGCCTCATCTAAACTCTCTTCTAATTAGATAAATTACTATCAAAAAATTATTCAAATATAATCAAAATCAGCTTTTAATCTCAAAAACAATTTTTAACATGGCAAAATTCCTGCCATATTGGCTCTAAGTATACATATTTCATTATTTTCATCTTCATTCTCGGCCCTTGTCTTTCTTTTCTTTACTTGTATACACAAAACTCATAAATCAAACCCTACAAATCCATTTTTATGTTCACTCTCCAAAATTAATCAATTATCATAACGACAAGCAAAGTATAAAAAATGATGGGTAACAAGTTGTCCACGGTTGGACAGAAGAGCCATGCTTATAAAATGTCAACTAATAAATGAAGGCTCCGGTCGAAAAACTTCGAAATCTTTGTTTTCTTTCACCGTTTATCATTCTCATCACAAGTTTCTTTCATTATTATTCAAATTGTAACAACTTTAGAAGCCAAATAAAGTCTCTTTACCTAACTTTGGCTGGTATACAAGTGGGAATAGGTTCAGTGCAAAAACGAATCACGTTTGTGTTGCTTATTTAAACTTAATTTATAAGAGGAATTGAATTGATCATTGACTCGAACAAATTAATTTGTGGCATCGATAACTTGTACCTCAAAATGAATGGTTGAATAATCTTCTTTTACTTGAACAAGGCGATGGCTAATGCACTTTGTTTGTTAAATAGTTATACCAGCGATCCATCCTAATAGTGAAAATTGCGATGAGTCGCTCACCAACTCGCACAAATTGGTTCACAAGTTAGGCTAGCCTTTGCCTAACTTGGGACATAAGGAAAAATAAGAAAGAAAAAATTATTGAGTTGCGAACAATTTGGAGTTGGCTCAACTTCCTTAAAGCAAGTCAATTACAATCTGACTCACATTATGAATCGAATCGAGCTATGTGATATACAATAAAGCTCGGTATTATTATTTCAAAACATTTTTTCTCAAACTCATTTTCAACCATAAATTCTTACAATAAAATATTTTGCTTGTCAACTTTAATTTCTTTTTCCTATTTTTTAACCACACATTCTTCAAATATTCCATTTCTCCCTCATTTTCTTATTGGTCAATCCTGTCCCGAATTAACAGTTTCGTTCCACTAGTCACTGAGGGGCCGGGGGCTAGAGGTCCAGGATTTAGTCCGGCTAAGCTGGGACACCTGGGTTATCAAAAAAAAAAAAAAAAAAAAAAAAAAAAAAAGTTTCTTCCTATCATCCAAAAAGGAGAAAAAAGAACCAGCGTGGATTCAATAGTAATGGGTCTCAGGCTAAAGTGACGCCGTTTACAGTTAGAGTGAAGGAGTTTTTTAATGCCAATCCATTGAATTCTTCTTGTAAGTTTAGATTTTTCATGACCTGGATATCTTCAATGGAGTCTTTTGGGGATAGAGAGTTGTTTACCATAGAGAGTTTATTCAAAACACACCCAAATGGTTGCTTAATTATAGTATCCAGTTCAATGGATTCAAGAAGTGGGATGCAGATTTTGAGTCCCTTTTTGGTCAAGGGATTTAAAGTGACTGCAATTTCTCCTGACTTCAATTATTTGTTCAATAAGACTGCTGCACAGGCTTGGTACAACCAGTTAATGCAAGGAAATGTGAATCCTGGAGAGGTTTCTTTAGGTCAGAACCTCTCAAATTTACTAAGGCTAGGATTATTGTACAGATTTGGTGGGATTTATTTAGACACTGATATTCTAGTATTGAAGAGTTTTAAGAAGCTAAGGAATACAATTGGGGCTCAGACTATTAATCCTGAAACAAGAAATTGGAGCAGATTGAACAATGCTGTCATGATCTTTGACAAAGGCCACCCACTTCTTTACAAGTTTATTGAAGAATTTGCACTCACATTTGATGGGAACAAATGGGGACACAATGGACCTTATTTGGTTTCAAGGGTTGTTTCAAGAATCACTGGGAGACCTGGATACAATTTTACTGTGTTGCCACCTATCGCTTTTTATCCAGTTTATTGGAATAAGATCGGCAGCTTTTTCCAGAGGCCGAAGAATGAAACTCACTCGAAATGGTTGATTGCAAAGCTCAGCCGAATTTGGAGCCAAAGTTTCACATTGCATCTCTGGAATAAGCAGAGCAGAAGGTTTGAGGTCGAAGAAGGAAGCATTATCGAACGAATAATGTTTGATTCCTGTGTTTTCTGCAATTCGTCTTCGTTCGCATCTACGTAAGCATAGAATAACAATAAGTGTATGCATATTCTAATTGCATTCATCTTTCAAAATGTTAGAATCTTGTGTATGAATTATGGACTCTCTCAGTCCATTCCTCTGTTTAATCTAAGAAAATGTAAATTTGTCATAAGTGAATTGTAAATTGAAGAGCAATAACCTTCCCTTCTTGATATACCAAATGATGGATGAAGTATTGGATTTTGTTCTATTTTTCACTAGTAAATTTTGATTGTTTGTTACAACCAGAATAAAATTAACTGTCATCTCAATGTTTGGGTAAATTTTAATTAAAGAGTTCCTGGCCTTATCTTTACATTTGCTCCGGATAGATTTTTCTGACTTTTTGTTAGCTGTATATTCCTCTGCAGTTACTCAAAGACATAATGCTGTCTTGATCATTTTCTCTACATCAGTTTGTTCCCATAAATTTGGGGTCCCAATAAATTTTGGGGTTGGCTAAAGGGATGCTATGCTTATTCAGGTTCATATCTAGCAACCTACCACATCTTTCCTCCTTTACAGGAGCGGAGCAAACACCCGGCAAACCTTTGCGAAGATCTTGCTGGCTCCTCCGGAAATTTTTTTCCTTGTAGCGGCCGTCTAGCGACTGCCTTGGCTCACTTAGATCCGCTCGTGCTCACCTAGATTCTTGGATCAGCCACTGCTCCTTTGTAGTAGTTGTTGGGATGGGATATGAAAATTGTCGGCAGAGTTTTAGGAAGCGTAAATGCAAAAAATAATAAAAATTAATTCTAAATTATAATTTATGATAAGCAACAGATTTGTTCCATGCGGATGTGATGAGTGCCGGAAGTTTAATCATGCAAATTTACGTTCCATGCAACTTCAGTTATGGAAGCATAGTTAAGATATGAACATTTTATGGCAGAATGATCAACAAGACTTAAAAAATGTTTCCCTGTTCTATGTTCTGTAAAGTTTATCATCATACTGTAAATTTTGCTATCATATTAACTGATAAAGAGAAATGATTGATAAAACTGAATGCAAATTAAGTTCAGAAAAAGTTCCGGAATTGTACGTGTTCGAGTTGATGATTCATTTTTACGAAAAATATTTCTGAATGTTTTGTGTGGCATTCTGAAGCGACTCTAATATTCATATAATTAATAGAAAATTAAATCCATTAATCATTGAATATCGAACTTATAATCTAATTTTAAGTTGCATTTTTATATATTCTCTGCAATCAGTATATATTTTTGTTTTGCATAAATCAGTTCTACAGACATTAAACGTGATACATTATCAACTTGTTGAACATATCTCATCTCATTACCTGTTTTTACATTTTGGTTTAAAGAATTGTGTTTGATGAGTCAACTTATAAGTGAAAACAAAACCTCCATAGTCTGGACTACCTACCAGACATTTATGTTGGGGGAGGACCTTTATGAGCCATCCCTTTCTTGCATGTGCCCTTAATTTCTTTCATTCTCAGTTTACCATCTCGACCTTCTGAAATCACCATAATGGGTGGCTATATATACAAATTTTATATCAATAAAACAAACTGAAGACACTTCTGTCCAATTTTAGATTTCTCCCGGGGCATGTATTTATAAAATAAAACGTGTTTGGTGCATAACTCCAGAAAGAAAACGTCAAGATATATTCTCTGGAACAACAATTATTATAATATATAGAAGTTTAAAAATTCTATTTAAAATAGGAAAATGTACAAAAATCAGTCTTGAAATAAGACAGTCTGCTAAAGATCCCTTTCTATTCAAATAACTGAGTATGTTTGTGTCCAAAAATATCATTTTATCTGAATCCTGTGCGATTGTATCTTTACAAGTCGAATGTAAGTTGTGTTGAGAAAATAAACTTCTTTCATGACTCACTGCTCTGCATTAGATGCTTATGCTCCATATCTTCAAGTTCCACTTCACCGCCTTCCCATGCCTTGTCATTCTGGAAAAGCATTTCAATTTGCTCTAATGATTTCCCCTTTGTTTCTGGAATGCACTTGTATACAAAAGCAACTGAAAGAGTTGAAATTGCTGCAAAGACAAAAAATGTTCCTCCTACTGTAATTGCACGACAAACAGAGAGGAAAGACATGGCAACCAGGCCGCTACTAACCCTACTCCCCACAGCCCCGATGGCTGATGCTTGAGCTCGGAGTTTTAAGGGGAAAATTTCAGATGATACAACCCAGCAAACAGGGCCTATCCCCACTGAGAAGAAAGCTACAGTTCCACACACACACACAATTGCCATGCCAATTCCGAGTTTTCCATCACCAAGGGTAGAAAGAGTTAGGCCTAAAGTGAAGAGACAAGCAGTCATTCCAATTGTACTCACATAAAGCAGTGGTTTTCTGCCAGCTATGTCAATAAGAAATATCGCAATCAAAATAAAAATTGTTTTCGTAAATCCAACAGCAACAGTTGCTGCCAGAAGCTGAGCCTCATCCTGGATACCAGCATCTTTAAAGACAGTAGGGCTATAGTAGACAGTTGCATCAATCCCAGTTATCTGTTGAAAAATCTGGATTCCACAACCCGTAATCAGCATTCGTCGAACTCCAGGTGAAGGATTTAGTAAATCACGCCATACAGCTCTCTCTTCGTACTTCCCAGCATTAACAAAACTTGCAGCCTTTTTTATTTCTGCTAACCTCTCCTCGATTTCACTTGCAATTTCATTTGTTTTCAATAGCACCATTCTCGCTTCATCAATCCGATTTTGCATTACCAGCCACCTTGGGGATTCTGGAATAACGAACAGTGCAAAACCAATAAAAACTGATGGAAGAATCCCCTACAGCAAGCATAATCCTCCAACTTATATGTGCAGGTAATCCCGAAAAGGCATAATTCGAGACATAACCAAGAAGAATTCCAAAATTCACGAAAATCTCGGGAAACGATGTCAATGATCCCCTTGATACTGTAGGTGATATCTCTGCAATGTATACCGGTGCAATCATGATTCCAAAACCAATCCCAATTCCAGCAAAAAGCCTGCCCACCATTAACAATGCAAAGGAAGGGGAAAGAGCCATTATAGCAGCGCCTGTTTGAAATACAATGGCTGCAAAAGCCATTGTCCATTTTCTACCAATGGCATCTGATGTTTTACCACCTGCTAAGCTTCCCAGAAGTGAAATAATGCTCAAGATTCCAACAAGGATTTCTTCTTGAACCTCAGTGATCTTTAAGTCCTCTTGAATAAATAGAATGGCTCCACTCATTACACCCACATCTGTGAATTAGAAAACAACAATTATATATTGTAGATAGTTATAGTATTGGGCTAAGTAAGAAATTCAAAGATGTGACTGTGCATTTGAACATGGAAATGTCACATAATCTGTATGAAAGAAGTGTTGGTAGAGACAAACCAAGTGGCATGAGATCACCACCGTAATTTTCTTTTTCTTCATAGTAATTAAAAACTATTGTAGCAATTGGACACAACTCTCATGTTGAGGGTGAACCACTATAAATCTGTTTCGTTTCCTTTATTTGTCTCGTGAATAGGGATAGGCCTTGAGTCATAACAGCTAGAGCAGAGTTTACAAGCAGTATCCATATTCCATTGTAGTAGTTCCCATTTTCATTTTTTTTTTCTTTTGTATTTCCTTAAAACTATTGAAATATCACATGTTTTGCCAGAAAGGAAAATGGTAATAAAAAAATTTGTGCAGAGTCAGGCAGCTTGTTAAACTTTTCCCGAATCACCATTTTTTTTTTACATTTTTTTTTATGTATAAATAAATGGACAATTTGATAAAATTCCAAAATAGCATTTTTATCCCAAATGAAAATTTCTTACTTCATATATATTAAGCTAAAGAAAAGATTTCAACAGTAAAACAATAGAAAAGGGATTTCAAGTAGAAAAAGATAGGCATCAGACTAAAATATCATTAGTCACAAGGTACATTGCCAAATAAGTAAATATTTATGAAGAACATTAACATAAAAGAAATGCACAAATATTTATCAAGAACTGTAACGTAAAAAGAAATTAACATTGGATCAAGATCATAGAAAATAAAAACGATAAGAGATGCGCGAACCATAGCCAAGAAGCACAGAATTGAGAGATGCAAAGATGGCACAAGCCATAACATATTTCCTGCTGTCGCTGCTATTCTGATTTGCAGTCTTGATATGAAATAGAAACCCCTTCAATTATATCCGAATCCATCTTCCTGTATTTTCTGAATCCCTCACTCCCATTTTCTTGGACCATCTCTTTTTCCGTTTGTCTCGCAAAAACAATATAAAAATCAAATTTCTTAAGAAAGGGAGAAAACTAAGAAATAAGAATACTCTCCCTCTTCCCCTACTCTCTCTAAAAGTTTTCACGCCCCACAGAACATAGAAAGAATGTTTAATGGAGGAATTTCTTAACTTTAACGCATGGATATTTTCTGACGAACGTTTTCTTGGTTTAGAAAGAATGTTTAATGGAGGAATTTCTTAACTTTAACGCATGGATATTTTCTGACGAACGTTTTCTTGGTTTAGAAAGAATGTTTAATGGAGGAATTTCTTAACTTTAACGCATGGATATTTTCTGACGAACGTTTTCTTGGTTTAGAAAGAATGTTTAATGGAGGAATTTCTTAACTTTAACGCATGGATATTTTCTGACGAACGTTTTCTTGGTTTAGAAAGAATGTTTAATGGAGGAATTTCTTAACTTTAACGCATGGATATTTTCTGACGAACGTTTTCTTGGTTTAGCATAGATTTGTTGATAGAGAGAGAGAGAGGGAACGGGAGGTCTATGGGGGTACTTTTTAAAATAGCCTGGTCAAACAACCAAATTTTCATTTTGACCATTTTTTTTTTGTATTCACCACATTGGTCTATTGCCATTAAAAAGACAATTCTACCCTTATTCATGTTTAATAATTACAAAAGTATATCAATTGTTTAAAAGACAATAATACCCTTAATAGTTTAAATAAATTCTGTTACTTCCATACGTAAATTTCAAAATCAGTTTTGG